TGTTATTTTTAATTATTTTAGTTATTATTTTAATAATATTATTATATTCTATATCATAATTATATAATATATTATATAATAATACTTTTTTGTATTATATTAAATATAATAATAAATTAATTATATATATTATAGTATAATATAATATAGTCGCAATTTTTAACTATCAACAACAATTCAACCTCATAATTTATCAAACGCTATTACACTGATTTTAGAACCAACACAGCTACTATAATTATAGTTTACTAAAAACTTAACTATTTTTTGTAATAGCTGCTTCTTCTTTCAACACAACTAAAAATATTTTTTTCAAAATCTACAACACTACCAAACTAAGCCATAAGCATTCCTGAAGGTAAAAATTCTTCAGCCCCTTTCATATTCATGTTATAGCCAATATTCATTTCTTATGGAGTGCTAGTCCTACATAAATATATAAATCTCAATCACGTACAACCAATTACAAATAACACATATTTTCAATAAATCTAAAGACTCCAATTTATCTCAACTGAAACAATCAATTTCATAAATCTCATAAATGCATATTAATTTCACAGCCAATTTTACAGTCTATACATCCAATTTCATGAAACACACAATCTAGATAACTAATTTTACATATTTCAAATAACCGAAACTAAAAACTCAAAAGCAATCACAACTAAAGAAACCAATTACACAAAACAGAATCCATATCCAACTAGTCTCACAACCTAAACTATTCAAGTCACCACCAATTTTCTAATCTAAACAACGAATTTCATGAAATGCACAATCTAAACAACTAATTTCACACATATTTCTTTTTGAACGAATTCCACGCTTTTCAAATAACTCTAAACTAAAAACTCGAGATCATCACATTTAAATGTAAAATTCCATAACTTCACTATTAAAATATAAAATTATAGTTAGCCTACCTATTAATAGCTTAAACTTTTAGAATTGATAAACTAATATCGTATCAGAGTGGGAGAACCTGAGTTTAAACTCTCATAATTACACTCTTTATCTCCATTTAAATTCTTTAATATATCTCAGACTTAAATATTCACGTGTTAGGCTTTCTAATTAATTTACTCACATGATTGCTTATTGTCCAGCCCACACGTGAGGGAGAGTGTTAAAATATAAAATTATTGTTGGCCTACCTTCTAATAGCTTAAGCTTTTGGGATAGATTGGTAAATTAATACAGAAGTGTAAGTTATAAAGTTTGATTTGCACATTTTATCAAGCCTAACGAGTTCAAATAAGCATCTTAACCTATTAATCCCACATTATTTAATACAATAATAAACACCAACTTATAGAGACGCTGGGTCATCCTATTTAATATGTTGACGATTTAAGATAGAAGTTCAAGTCTTCAAAAAGTCCAATTTGCACATAATATCATAGCCCAACAAGTTGAAACGGGCTGCTTAATCCATCCAGATGTTCACGTGACCTTCATTATCCCTAATAGATGTTCACGTCAAAAAAAAAAAAAAAAGAATTCATTTTCTATTGGGCTAAAATTGCAAAGATTTTTAAGTTGAATAGGTCAATCGCTAAAAGAAAAGATTAAAGATTAAATTGTTAAATTTAAAAAGTTGAGAGAATGTTTATAAAAAAAGTCCAATCGACATTTTTAAATTATTTTAACGTTAAAAATATAATTTTTATAACTTTTAAAACTTAATGATAATTAAAAAAATAAACCTTTGAAATAACATTATAGATTAGAGAGCGCAAATTAAAATAATATATAGGCCTCGTTCGTTTCGATGATTCGAGTTTAGAATTTGAGTTGAGATGTGATCGTATGTGAGAGTTTTTTACTGTAACAAAAAAGTTAGATGTGATTGTTTGTAAGAGCTTTTTACTGTAACAAAACTCGAATTCTAAACTCGAATCAGCGAAACGAACGAGGCTATATTTTCACAGTTTTTCAAACCAAATATAACATTTAGCATATAGTCTCAGTACTTACATCTCAAATTTCACGTTCCCAACACAAGTGCAGAACTGCGTTTAATTATTTGCGGTCATCACTTTATCACAAAGTACAACGGCCGAACCAATCACAATCAAATGCTTCCTCCGCAGTTGGAAAGGATGATGCTCAGCGAACTATACATGAACCAAACATACGGACCCACCAACGATAACCAACACGATCCACACAAACGACAAAAAAAAATAAAAAAGAAAAAAACCCAATAATAAGAGGACGTAATTAATATGTGTATGGACCCAACCAGTGGTCCCCACCAGTCGAAGGAAAATAGAATCACATGCGTGCCTCCAATAAGTGGACCCCACCAGTCTTTTCTACCATCGGAAGTGTCGGAATGCTCTGCTCGTTCCTGAAGAAATTCCCGGGATCAACTCTGGTCTTTATCTCCACCAGCCTCTGGAAATTATCCTTGAAATACTTAATCCCGTATTCCCTTCCCTTCTCGTAACTCGTCTTCTTCGAATCATGGCCGTTGATTCCCAGGTCGAGATCTCTGTAGTTCAAATACGACACCCTCGGATTCTTGGCCACAAACGGAGTCATGTAATAGTAAAGCCTCCGCAACAAACCAATGTAGAAATTCGCCGCCTCTGTTCCCGGCTCATCCCAATTCACCAAGTAATGAATCTTCGCCAAGTTTCCGCGGTGCGGAAACGGCGTCGCATTCGCCGGAATCCGAGCCATTCTTCCCCCGTATGGATTAAGCGCCAGCATTGGAAATTCCAGTTCGATCATTCTCTGAAAAATCCAGTTAAGACCACTTTTCGGAATTGGCTCCTTCAAATAATCAGATTTTCTCTTAAAGTGAACGAGCTTTTTAGGCGTTCGAACGAGAAGATAATCGTCTCTCGTCCCAATTGGTAAATCTGCCCAGAAAAAAATGGATTGGACCCAGCTTGTGAAAATACAATCGGATTTTTTTAAGCCAAGTTCTGGAAAACTTTCATACACCAAATTTAAAAGTCTCTCAGAATCTCCAAGAAAAAACCCTACAAAAGAAGCTCTTACAGTCTTGTTCTCTCTTTGATCGTTACTCTTCACAACGTCGAAGAAAATTCTAATGAAGAGGTCGTCGTCTAGCTTCGGCGCAACTTCCTGCCACCGGTAAACGACGTCGTCCGTTCCTTTCTCCTCCAGAGTTTTCTCGACTCTGAAAACGACGACGTTTTCCGGAATCCGAACAAGATTAATTTTGTAAGCCACGACCACACAGAAACTAGCTGCGCCGCCTCCTCGTATGGCCCAAAACAAGTCTTCACCCATGGTTATTCTGTCGAGAACCCGTCCGCGAACGTCGACGATTTGAGCATCTACGACATTGTCGACGGAAAGACCGTACTTTCTCATCATGGTGCCGTACCCTCCACCACTTAAGTGTCCTCCGACGCTGACTGTCGGACACACCCCGGCCGGGAACCCGTGGACTTTGCTTTTCTCGGCGATTTTGTAGTAGACTTCGCCGAGAGTTGCACCGGCCTGGACCCATGCTGTCTCGGTCGCCATGTCAATTTCGACGGAGCGGAGGTTTTGCATGTCGAGGAGGAAGAAGGGGGCCTTGTGGGAGACGTATGAGACGCCTTCGTAGTCGTGGCCGCCGCTGCGGATCTTCATGTGGAGATGATGCTTCCGGGCGGCGATTATGGCGGCTCTCACGTGGGAAACGTGAGTTGGGGTGATGATTAAAAGGGGTTCCGGGGTTTTCGGGGTGGTGAATCGGAGGTTGCGGATGTGGGATTGAAGGACGGAGGTGAATGAAGGGCTTTCGGGGGTGTGGATTATTGAGGGAGAGACTGGGTGAGAAGGATCGGAGGAATTCAGGAGTGAGTGAATGAAGGACTCCTGAGTGTGAACTGGGTGATCAGCCATGGGTTAGTGTTGAGTACTGGATATAATGTGAGTGAGTGAGTTGAGAAATTAATGTGGTTCCTGGATGTATGATTATATATGCGTGGACACTTTGGTATATTTGAATCTTGCAATATTTAATAGGGTAGTTTTAGAAGAATGTTATTTGAGGTCAGAATACCACCCACTAATAAAAAAATATGAATCTCATGAGGTGAGACTCACATATATGACTCACATTTCTGTTAGAATAATGTTTAATACTAATAGTGTCTTTAAATATTTTTTTATTGACACATCATCAATTTTTACTTTTCCTGTCCACATTCTAACTACACATCCACATAAAAATGATTAAACTTACTTTTTACACACTTCTATTATTTTAAAATTACCCGTAATTATCTTTCATAAAATTATTAATTCTTATCACTTTATTTTTCTTTCCAGCTATTTTTATTTTAATTTGTTATTCTGATATTACATCTACTTTTTTTTCATCAAAAGCAAAACAACTCAAAACTAAAAAGAAATAAATGAAATTAAAAAAAAAAAAAACGAGAACATGACTGTGTTATATAAATTAACGTGCAACTAAAAAAGACAAGATAGCAAGTGAAAGTGCTAGTTTGGTATTGATATAATTGGCGTAGAAGCCGATTGGGGGCTGTGAGCAACAAATCTGGTAACAAACTTGGAGAGGAATCACGTCCAAACCAAGAAGAAATGCAGAGAAGAAACAAGGAAAAACACAGTGTAATCAAAGGGGTGGAAATCCAATTTCATTCACCAAATTTTCACAGCTGCGTACAGCTTCTCAACGAGGGATATTAACCTAGAGGAATTCGATCAAAACGACCAAACTCAATTCTCAGTCACAAAACGATAGAAACAAGCAAAAACGACACATCAACATCAGTCTAGCCATTATATAAGTTTTAGTCTTGGCAGCAAATAACATAACATGAGCAACATATTAAAAGTTATCAACAAAAGGACTGTCTCCTACATCATAAATCACATATGAACATAAATAGCAAAAAAAAAAAAAAAAGAATGAAAGGAAAAAACAAAATCAATCAAACTATTAAAAAAAAGCAAAAAATAAAACAAAATAAAATTGTCAAACAACAAATATCAAAGAAAATTAATATACCTCCACGCAACTCTTTTAAATAGCCTTTGAAATGTGAAAGTTATGGTTTTGTTATAGATTTATAATAGCAATAGTTTAGAATGAAGAGATGATGTGTTTGGGGTGTGTGAAGAGGAAAAAAAAAACTACTTTTATTTTTCTTAATAGTAAAATTTAACTATATATTTATGTGAGGGTGTTTTTCAAATAAGAATTTTTAATTAAAAGAGTGGTGTGAATAAAACCACCTTACCTTATTTAATATGATTTCCTCTCTCTTGTCGGCCCCGTTCACTTCGCTGATTCGAGTTTAGAATTCGAGTTGAGATGTGACTTTATGTGAGAGCTTTTTACTGTAACAAAAAAGTTAGATGTGATTGTTTGTGAGAGCTTTTTACTGTAGAAAAACTCGAATTCTAAATTCGAATCAGCGAAGTGAACGGGGATCCAAAGTTTAAGAAAATAGGAGTTGAGAGGTCGGGTTGTCCATATTTTCAAAAAAAGAAAAAAAAAATGAACACAAAAACTAAATGTCAAAAAATTTAAGGACTAGGTAAAAATCCCAACATTAATTGAATGTAAATGAGCGAGCTATTGCCCTTGATACTTTCTATAATCCATCTCTCCGACCAAACGAAGACTTTCCTAGTTGTCGCTGTTGTGTTTATACACCTCGCAATCTTTGATGATTTGCTTAGCTAAGGCTTTTGGTGCTCTATCTTTTCGCTAATTTGGACTTTAGCCGTAGCCCTGAGTTGTCAATGACCACCAATGGAACGATATAGTTGTTTGCTCAAAGCAAAGGTCACCTTTTGATCATTTTACTGGTTGGTTTCGAGAATAAAAACAAGGACGAAATATTGTACCTGGACCAAGTTAAGATAATACATTTGATTCCAAGTTTCCAACTTAAAATATCCAGATATTACAACTTGATTTAGACCTCAAAATAGATGTAGTAAAGATCCTATTTAATTTATCTGATCAATCACGAGAGTGTGTGTGTTTGTGTATTCAACAAAATAACAAAGAAAATAACAAAACTGAAGAGTTTAAAATGGAAATTAATATTCTAGTTAATTTTTAAGGACTTAATTTGGACAAGAAGTGAAGAGAGTGTATTTTGCATTTAAAATAAATATATATATTTTTTTTATAAAAAGCTTCAATTATTGTGCGATTAAAACGTGATTATAACTATAAAATCTCATAAGTCATTACTCGAAAATTATCTAGGAACTAAATGACACCACACTACAGATTTGAAAGACCTAAAAAACCAGTTGAAATTTTCTCACTGTTCAGCAACCGACCATGTGAGAAATTAGACAACTTAATTGATGCAAGTAAAACTTCAAATCATTGTATTCATAAGAAAAGATGTTCGTCTATAACCAACGAGAAGCCATCGATTACAGCCAAACTTGTCTAGAAACCAAAACAAGTTCGAATATTCTAAAAACTGTTTTAAGGCATTCTTAGTCGTCAGCCATGTGAGCCCAAAGCGCAGTTCCACCAATGAAATTACGAAACATGAAGAACAAAAGTGGGGCTACGGGTTTTATCATAATTTTATTATATGATAAAATTACGGCCAAAATCATATTTAATATACTCAACAATATGTAATGACAGCATCTAAATATATGCAGAATTACCGTCTTTTATTATATGCATTTGCTGAAAATGTTGTTGCTATCATTTCTCGTTCACTCTAAGGTTTACCATTAGTAGGATTTAAAATTCAACTAAAATTTATATATATATATATATATTTATGAAATGTCCTAATAAAATCACCATATGCTTGCATTTTATTTTGATTTAAATTTAAAAGTATACTATTTTAATATTTTTTAAGAAAACTTGTTTAAAAAAGAAAAAGAAAAAAACAGTTGATATTTTACTCACACAGAACACATTACACATCTGACTAAGGATAAAAATAACGATACCTAAATTTTAAGGAAATATCAATATAGGTGGTAATTGACGTATGGAAATAAATTTTAAAACACTTTATTTTTAAATGTGACTTTGGAAAATCTATATAACTAATAATTCTCAATTAAAATACTAAGTATATGATAAATATGCATGTTAAAAATAAATATCAACTTTAAGTTATTTTACGCAAAAGATATTACGTCTCTCTTTTCACATCAGTACTTCTAAAATAGATAAATTTCACGAAAATATCGTAAAAGATGGAAATGTCAATTTTTTAAACCTTGCCTCTGACTATTATATACATATATATAAGCGCAATTATGAAACCTTTCTTTGTAACAGTTTCTGGAAAGCTTTACGAGAAACTTGTCATTTTGTGTCGGCAGCAACAGTTTTCCTTTTTTTTTTTTTTTTTTTTTTTGGTCTGAAGGAGGAATATAAGGCCTATAAAACATTATAGAAGTTCAATAATTTAAATCCACCATTTGCTTCACGTGCTAGGCCTTTGTAAAAGTAACACTGGGGACACCCAATATAATTTTGATAGCGACATTAATTTGTCATTATTTCACAGATTAGAGGCCTTCCATAACTTTTAGAATGGAAAAATCTCCATATGTTATCATAACATTCTTTTAACCAATCCAATCCAATTTAATTAATTGCACTGTATATCTACAGATTGAATTTCTCGGATTTGCAGATTGGTCTTTTGAGTTTAAGACTTGTAGCCCATTTTCCACTATCATCATAAACTCGTTACAAATTAGAAAAGAAGAAAGAGGGAAATAGGTCAAGACTTGAGATGAATTAAAATTAATAGGCTAATAGTTTACATAAGTTAATAAATAGGTCAAATTACTATTTTTGTCCATAACTTGTCTGGTTATGAAGTGTCCATAAATCACAATTTTTATCCATAATTTATCTGGCTATGAACCATAACTTGACAAGTTTGTCAATAACTTATCTAGTTATGAACCATAACTTGACAAGTTATGACATATTAATTTCTATAACTAAAAATTGGCCTATATACTTCCTTAAGCTTTTCATATTGGCATATTTTCTACTATTTCTGATTAGAAAATTAAAATAAGACATACAATAACATATATATAATAGTTTACTAAGATCCAGTTTATTTCAATACAATCGTATTTAAGTATTCGACAATAAAGTATGTGTGTATATATACATATATATATTTATACACATATAGACATGTATAAATATATAAACACACAAGTGCACGTATGAATATATAGACGTATATAAATCTTTGTCAAAAACGTATGTAATTAAAACATAAAACTCTAGGAGATTTTTGAATTGTGGATGAAAGCAAATAATATCATATGTGATACTGGCTTCAAGGGTCCCAACATAATTGGGATGTCTTGTTTTACCTTGATGTTAGTTGCTTCTTCTCATCATTTATTCAATAAAACAATATGTATGTGTGTGTGATTAAGACATTCATTTTGCAGTATAATTATTATTTGAGAAAATTGCCGAACTTACTTTTAAAGTGCATGCGTATAAATTTTTACCTTTTAGTACTCTTATAAATAAATATCTTTTTGATTAATATAATTATATGACTAAAAAGATATAAATTAAGAGTAAAAGATAAAAATGTAGACCCGTGCACTCTGAAATGTGCCTTTCCTTTTCATAGCATGATAGATATATACTTATTTTTTTACCATTCGTAGAATTAATGATACCATGATTTTTATAGTTATACTAGCATGAAGATGTCCCTAAGGCACGTCTCATTTGTAACTTTTTTTTTTTTTTTTACTTTACAATTTGGATGCTTTTGTTTTTCATAAAAAGAATTATTTTATCAAAACAATTATAATTATTTTACAATTTCATATTTATGTATGATGATGGTTAAAATCAAAGTTCAAAATACAAATGCATCTTTTCCCTATATATATATATGTGTGTGTGTGTGTGTGTGTGTGTGTGAGTGCACGCAGTAAAGAGTATTTAAAGATTTACAAGTTGAATTTATTTGAGAAAATAAAAGAAGAAGAAGAAACAAACAAGAAAGCATTTGATACAAAAAGAGTGAATTAATAAAAAAAAATTATACTTGGAATGCATTTCAAGAAAAATGACATTTTAAAGTATAGCATGAAGAAATATTGAATTTGGAATATATTTGAATAAAAATTATGTCAATGGGTAAATTAGCGAAAAAGTTTTTAATGAGAAAACTCCCTAAATACAAGAATTTTTTTTTTATTATAAAGAAGTAGCCAAGCAATTAAGTGTAAAACTCAAAACAAGTATCTCTTCTTATATATCTACTCGATTTGTTCTTGTCCATATGTTTAGGCTTGCACCGTCTCTTTTCTCTCTCCAGCGCTATTGAGACAGAAAACCATCCACAGTCAATATTATTGCGATGGTTTGCATTAGAACTTATGTCTTGTTCATTTCACCGATTTAAGTTTTCAGTTTTAGGTTTCTATAGTAAAAAATTCTCAGAAAATGTCACATTTAACTTTTTCTACTACAGTAAAAAGCTCTCACAAATTATCACATCTCAGTTCGAATTGAAAACTCGAATCTGCAAAATGAATTCGAATTGAAAACTCGAATCTGCAAAATGAACGAGGCTGACATATGATAATTCAAAAGTAGGACCAAAATTCAGCACTTGATCAATTGCAGAATATAAGATCCAACACATATATATACAAAGAGCAAAGTTGAATTGTCCCACATAGAAAGGACATGAAGGAGAAGTGGAAGAGTTAGACTATAAATACGGCACTTCATGTGCAGCACAAAACAAGGAGTCGCGTGGTAAGCACAGAGCGAACTATTCTTTCGCCTTTTACTAAAGAATACCGTGTGCTTGCCACATAAAGCGACATACTCAAATTTTTTAAAGGGGTTTCTTCTATTTGGTGAAGCCCCACAGTTTAAGTTCTAAAAATTTGAGGTATTAATAGTAGTCCTGGTATTATTAGAGGTTACTAATCGGTATAGATTGACTAGCATTAAACTAAAAATCTAAACACAAAAGGTTAAAAAAGGAGAAAATAAATAGGGAGTAAAATAATATTAACTCTACTAATTGGATACTAATTAAAGTCTAATTAGTATTAATAAATTATAGCCAATTAATAAAAAAAACAATTAACAAATGTACTTTTTCAATATATTTTAACATAATATGTTACTCATATTTGATGCATTACTATGACAAGTTAAATAATAGTATTATTTACTTCAAAAATCTAAACAAAAAGTTAAAAAAAATAAAATAAAATTTATTAAGCAAACAAGTTTAAAGCGTGAGGTGTGATATGAGGTGTGGGAGAATGCATAAACCATGTGTATAAATCTTGATCATTCCATTTAAAATTAAAAAATAATTGGGTGATGACGTGGACCATTAGATTGCTTGGTTGAAGATAAGATATCATTGTTATTCCATTTGTCTTTTTTATTTGATTCGATTCACTATCCTGCAAATATCCCATTATGGGCATTGCCCATTTTGAGAAATTCAAAAAAAAAAAAAAAAATCAAGCTTTTTGTCAGCTTTCTTTCTCCTATTTCCTATATATAGCTTGCAATGTAATTTAGACAAACAAGTTGGTCATCTTAATTGTAGTTATTGATATATTTTTATTGTATCTATTTGGAGGTGTGACGTACCTCGTGTATATATTTCAACTCCTATAGTAAAAAGGTACTATTTATTTAATGATATTTATGTATCCCACACCTTCTAGCTAGAATTAAACTCTTATAACAAAGGGAAAATAGTGAAAAGATTGGGATGTTATCTAATCATCAAGCCCCCAACTCCCGAAATGGAATTAGAGGCGGAATGCTTTGTTCATTCTTGAAGAAATTAGTTGGATTAACTATAATCTTATCACGAACCAACATGTTCAAATTATTCTTAAAATACTTGTTACTGCAAACACTTGCTTACGTGTAGCTTGTGGTGCCATTGTTGCTATTCCTCCCAATATCAAGGCCCCTATAATTGACATATGTAATTAGATTTTTTTTATAGAGGAAATCAAGAGTGAAATTAAATCTACTATTTATTTTATTTTTATTTTTATTTTTTTTTGTAGGGTAAGGCAAGACGCTACTACCAACACCAATTTTCTTTTCAGAAGCATTAATTGAGTGAAAGGAAACAAATTTGTTCTATATAAAAAGAGTAAACCAATTGGCGCAGAATTTGGCATTTTTTACTTTCCTACCTGTATCTAGCTGGTTTCGAAATCATGTACCGGATTTAGATGGCTAAATTGATTTATCTATAGACCATATTTTGTAATGACTTATTTTCTTTCTTATTAATAAAATTTGGTAGGACGCTTATAGATATAGAATCGTCTTTTAGAAGGTGCAAATCTATTTCAATCAAATTTGATCTTTCATCTTGTTGGCCATCCCCAATTTAGGGTCCGAAAAAATAAAAAAGAAAGCTAACAGATATATATTTTTCCTAACAAATTATGAAAGCTACACAACTACACGTATGAAAAAAAAAAAAAAAAAAAAAAATTCCTTGCCAGCTCTGAACTTCTTCTTGGCCATCCCCAATTATGAAAGCTACACAACTCATTAGAGTTAACAATCAAAAATCTCGGAACTTCTAAGTTTGCGACAATATATATCATCAATAATCTAGCAAATGTGAGAGCTTTTATTATAATAAAAAAGTTAAATGTGACTGTTTTTTAGAGTTTTTTTTATTATAATAAAACTCGAATCGGTAAAATGAACGATACCCTAATTTTAACAATGAAATTTCTCAATTTTTTGTTTTAACGACGTACAATTGTTAATGCTCATCTAAGATCAAATATAATTACACATGGCACGTGATCTATCGGAATTTCATACTAAAATCCATAGAAATCACAAAATCCACCAAATCAAACAAAGATACAAAATACATCATATAACACGTGATCACAAAGTCATGTTGTCCGAGGTTGCACTGCTGCTAGCATAGTCATGCCTTAAATCACATGGATTTCGCCTGAGTTGCGTAAGCGTCACCTAGAAATTCTATGGGTTTCAACGTCTACTGCATTGTTGAAAAATCCATTGAAAATAGTGCAACAGAATTTAAAAATATTTATTTAAAACTAGGAAACTAACTCGTGTTGCTATGAAAAATAAGTTATTATTACCTTTATAAATGCGTGAATAACACATTTGACAGAACTTTTATTTCTTGAAGAATCACAACCATTTGATCTTTTATGTTATTCTCGTACTATAGACTGTCGTGTTTATGGCACAAGCTAAACAATTTCTTCTACATTCGTATCTCCTTCTAATCATTACATGTGAACAACTAATTTTTCTCTCTAAGTTGTTCTAAGATTGATTAGACCTTATACCTACCTCTATTTATAATATAAGCAAGCTAGTTATAAATGCTATAACTTGAAATCACTATATGTAAGCAATTAAATTTTCTCTCTAAATTGTTCTAAGATAAATGAGACCTTATACCTCTATTTAAATTTAATTACGTGTGAGCTTTCTGGGTTGATCGTACATGTGGAAGTTTTTATTGTATTCAAATTCAGTGAGGCTACCCAATGAGAAAAATAAAAACAAAAAATAAAAAAAAATTCTCGTAAGGGCTTCTAGCATTCTACCAATTAGCTCAACATGTTGAAATATTTTAATGTAGACTTCTATAATCATAATAATTCACTCTATTATGAATCAAAATATTTTATGGATAACTGTGTTAACGTGAATTAACAAATGTATGTATATTAAATATCGGTCCATAATGGAATTGACACTTAATTTATTGACTAACTTTAGGCCTATAGACTCCCTCTTCTCATCAATACTTTGTCAACTCATTAGGCCAAATAACTTCTCTAGAATAATTTAGGGAGAAAGAGGGAAATAGGCCAAGACTTGAGATGAATTAAAATTAATAGGCCAATAGTTTACATAAGTTAATAAATATGTCAAATTACTGTTTTCGTCTATAACTTGTCTGGTTATGAACCATAACTTGACAAATTATTCATGGTTTTTGTCCATAACTTGTCTGGCTATGAACTATAACTTGACAAGTTTGTCCATAACTTATCTGGTTATGAACCATAACTTAATAAGTTATGGCTTATTAATTTTTATAACTAAAAATTGACTTATATACTTTCTTAAGCTTTTCATATTAGTCTATTTTTTATTATTTTTAAATAATTTATCAAGCCCAATAAGCCCACTATAATGTTTGCCCATGAAGTTTATATAAGTGTTGGGGGCTATAAGTGGGTCAAGGGGTTGAGTGGGACATTTTGTCTTTGTATGGAGAGACTAAGCATGTGTTTAGTATGATGATTCGTATCACGGTTTGAATAATAATTTATGATTTATTACAATATTTTTTTTTTATAAAGATACATATAAATTAAAAATCATTTAAAATTATAATTTTAAATCCGTAAATTAAACGTCCACTAATTAAGAGACTAATTAAGAGGAGAGCCCTATTATTCTTAAGCCCGTTTTACAACAAGTTTTCGACGGCTTAGCGGTACGCAACGCTTCTAAAAGGTAACACGTGATCCTTTCGCTTTATGCCATGTCTTAGACACTGTGTCTAATTTTCAACACAAATCATCACGTGTTTAACTTTACGAGTGATCATTACTAAGAAGGCTTAGAAGTTTGACAATTTGTTGTTTCAGTGATGGTTGTCAAACGGATTAAGTTTTTTTTGTTTTGTTTTGTTTTTGTTTTTTTTTTTTTTTTTTGTGTGTGTGTGTGAAGAAAATAGACTTGTTGGTAACTTATCCTTAATCATTTATACGGAAAGTACTTGGATAAGCTCTCCATATCATTGAACCGTGGTTTTCTGTATAAAATTAGTTTTCCAATAGGTAACACGTGATCCTTTCGTTTTATTCCATGTCTTAGACCAGTCTAATTTTCAACACAAATCATCACGTGTTTAACATTACGAGTGATCATTACTAAGAAGGCTTGGAAGTTTGACAATTTCTTGTTTCAGTGATGGTTGTCAAACGGATTAAGTTCTTTTGTTTTTGTTTTTTTTGTTTTTTTGTTGTTGAAGAAAATAGACTTGTTGATAACTTATCCTTCATAATTTATACGGAAAAATGATTAAGAAATCAGAAGTTATTGAGAAAACTCATTTTCAGTAAACGGCCGGGTAGGCAAGAAATGCTCACTGATTATTATTATTATTATTATTATTATTATTATTATTATTATTATTATTATTATTATTATTATTATTATTACTAATGTATATTTATACGTATATATGAATAATGATTTAAGAAATTGATTAGTGGGTATGAGGAAATCATCCCATATTGGATGAAAATCCGGCAACACAAAAGCTGAGGATATATGTAACGTCCTCACCCAACAACAATCCAAAAAAGTGCAATATTAGTTATATTCTTTATTTAATCAACCGAAATAGTAAAAAATAGGCCAATATGAAAAGCTTAAGAAAGTATATAGACTAATTTTTAGTTATAGAAATTAATAGGCCATAACTTGTTAAGTTATGGTTTATAACCAGATAAGTTATGGACAAACTTGT